AAAGAAATTAAATGAATTGTACTTTATTTCAGTATTTTATATAAAAAATTATATCTTTATGTTTTTATTTACGATATATGGAGATGGTCACTTGATGAACATCGAACTACAAATTACTTAATGATAATAGTTGATATCCACATTTATTAACATGTCAGGCAAATGTTTACAATTATTTTTAATTAAACTTTAAAATGTATTCTGCCCTTATCATATACAATACATTTTCTTAACTTGTCGATAAAGTATAGTTTTCAAATTTTTTAATATTAAAAATGAAAATTCTACACCCTGTATCTCCGAAACTAAGCGTTTTAGGACATTTATTTGGAAACTTTATCACAAGGTATATTATTACTAGTTGCTAAATACTCGCCAGCGCAATTTTAGGACATGCTTTTTATTATCTGGATTTTATTCTGTTCATCTTATGCTGTTGTTTATTTCATATTAATATTCGTGTTTTAGATCTAAATTTTAATGCTATTCAATAACTTTGACGCAATAAAAAGTTAATGTTATTTTTTAATACCTTTGTGTATAATATTTTTCATATTTATATCTGGCAAGACTATCAAAAAATACTATTATTTATGCAAAAACTATATGCAGTACCATATGGCACAATACAAAAGCCCGACTATTGCGGTGACATCACAAATCAATGTCTCTGGCCTGTATCTCGTGTTGGTTATGCTGATATCAATGTTTCTCTCTCTCTGTCACCTGTATACAATAAGCCGGACTAATATTTTGTATTTTTGATCCATTCTTCTTCTTCTTCTTATACTTATTTGAGATCTCTCGATCTGTTAATTTTAAGGTTGCCTCTGTAGGAGTTCTTAGGACATGGAATACCAACTGTCTTTCCATCTTTTTGGAGGTCTTCCCGGCTGTCTGTTTCCAATGGGTTTCCCTTCAAGAGCTATGTGTGGTAGCCTGTTTTCTTCCATGAGTTTTACGTGCGCGAACCATTGTCTTTTTCTTTGCCTACCCCATCTCACTACGTCCTGTATTCCACATTGTTGCCTGATATTTGTGTTTCTAATTCTGTCTCTTCTAGTCTTCCCCATTATGGTTCTTAGGTTCTTCATTTCAGCGACTTGTGGCAGACTTCCGAAGGTAGCAAGTGCCCGCCACAGATTGGTTGGTTCCACGGGAGGAGAATAACAACCCTGAATGGCCGTCCAGCTGATATCTGTCAATCGAGGAAGAGGAAGGATTATTCTGTGGATAGACATTCGACCTTCAACATTCACGTTTCGCGCCAAGAAACCGAATTCTTATGTTTTGTAATAGTTATTTAGTTTGTAACAATTCATCGAGTTAATTAAATGACTTAATTATTTAGTGTGCCTAATTTGCAACCCGCAACGGCCACAGACTCTTAATAGGCTTTTGGTCTTGTGTGTTTCCTCTCGTATTCCTATGCCATATGTCATTATTGGTATGATGCAGGTCTTATAAATTTTAATTTTGCTGTCAGTTCGCATGAAGGGGTTTGTCCACGTTATTTGTCTCAAACATCCTGACATGGCCATTGCTCTGTTTATCAGGCTTCTCAGATCTTTCTCTGGATCATGGTAGTGCGACATATCTATTCCTAGGTATCTAAATTGCGATACTTGCCCAATAATTTTGTTTTCTACTACCAGTTTCCATCTTACCGGCTCTTTAGAGAAAGTTAAACATTTAGTTATTTTCTGAGGAGATAATCATATTTAATTCTCGGCTTGCTCGATAGAATTTATGAATTTATTCCATATCCATCAATTGATCCATTCATAGCAGCAAAAGGTAATGCTGAAGTCAAACCAGTTCTTAAAAAAACAATATGAAGTGGACTTTGTAACTCTCACTGTATATTTCCAACCTTCTATCCAAATTACCCCCGCAAGTAGTAATATATCTATGCTATAAGCCGCTCATTACAGGGAAGAGCACTAGCTTATTAATATCCATTGTTCTGTTCCTGAGTCCTAACAGCTGCGTTTTTGATGTACTTAACCAAAATGATTACCTTGATTGTAATCGTTTATATTTTCTAAGATATTTAATGGCCTTCAGCTCTAATACAAAATTTTTCTTGTCGCCTATATCATCATCATAGAATGTTTTTCTTCTTTTTTTTTGAAAATATTATATTCTCATAACTAAAAATTTGTGTTTATGTCTAATCTTTGTCTAATAAAATTACATTTATAATTGAAGCATACATGCGAGAAAGTGATTTCAAAGTATTTTAGTAAGATAAATCAATAAGTAATAGAAAGAAGTATTAATTTGAACAAAATAAATACATTGTATTAATACAAATATGTCAACATTTTTTAAAATCTAAATAAATAAAAAGTCGTGTTAGCGAAACCATTCATAACTCAAAAACGGCTGGATTGATTTTAATGATCTCAGATTTGTTACATTTTTCCCCCTCCCCGAATAAACAAATTACTTTTTTTCCCTAGCAACTGTTAAAATTGCCTTATATCTATCAAAAATAGTAGATAAAATAGCCCAAGTAGCATCTATCTGACTTCGAACTAAATCTGACCTGAAGCGACGTCAGACTTTGTGCAAATTTCGGTCAGGTGCTGGTGATACGACCGGTGACGTCGCTTTCCTATTAAAAGCGACGTCGTTGGATCCGAGTCGGTAAATCCAACGATCTGTCGACGTACAAAATAACAACGTACCATTTTTATTAATTTCCCAACGTTGGCTTGCACGACGTACATATACTTGAACTAGCCCGACGTCTACCCGTTGTCCGAATAGGATACATCTCACTGATAATCCCTAAAGTAACGTCCAATTATATTTTGTTGTATTTTATGTTCATATTTATAACCTAATTTACGTATCTCTATTTACGTTCGTAAATACAACCCATTAAGTAGCATTTGCGACCTAATGAACATCATGAATATAACCTAATAAAAAGTTTTTGTAAACATACTTATTTTTTTTATTATGCCTAAAAAAACACTAAAAAGGCATTTAGACATTCATCTACATTTTACAGTAAGAGGTCGAGGCTTTTGCAAAATAATAATAGTAGTAGTGATGTCTTGCCTCCACCCATAACTGATTTTTATCCGCCAGAGATGCTGCATTACACTGGTGCATCTTAATTTCATTTTTTAGCTTAGGAAACCAGCAGACCCCATCCTCCTCCCACATATGAGGTTAGGCTTAGTGGCTGCCCATTTTTTTTAAGGAGAAAACAAAAACTAAAATATAGTTGCACAAATCCACAAATCACTGATACGCAAAATGAGGTTACGTGGCGTACGTTGGAATTATATACGTCATAATACGATTGCCGGTCGTCCGGTTTGATGACTTCGGTCGTGTGAGACGACTAATGTTGGAGACCCGGTCGGAATTGGTATATTGGTAGTTCATATTAAGTCGGACACAGAAATCCGCCATTCTTAACAAGTATCAGATTGTCAGCCATTTTAAAATCGTTTTATGTTTTTAAAATTTATATTCACATTTCGATTTCTAGTAGAATCATATTGATAAGGTTGAGTTTGGGGGGAACCACAGTACAGTTTTATGATTAAACCAGCTAGAAAATTAAAAAAAAAAATTGCGAGTTACTTTTTTATAGATATTTTTATTTCATAAATCTACCTAATTTTAAAGGCGCTCGTTGTTTTTCGGAGTATTTTAATCAGATATATCAAAAAAGTGACTTCCGTTGACAAAACTGATGTCTGGATTAATGATTCAGAATTATTATAATATGAAATTAGATAGGCACTTATAGTTATATTTGAGGAGTGATTATGAATCCATTTGTAATTAGGTAGTTTGGTTAGGTTTTTATGTATTCTTGGTAGCGAATATGTAACCAAACGTAACGTAAGTGCTTAGCGACGAATTTTAAGTAACTAAAATCCAACGTAATATGACGTTGGTAATTAGTAGGATTACATTCCCTATTAGGTCAGATACCGACGTCGAGGCGACCCGAATCTGTATTCCCCATTTAGGTGCAAATAAGGGTCGTCAGGCGGTCGAACCGACGTTGGTACTCGACGTCGGGTTTATTGAACGCGACGTATACCCGACGTTAGATAACGTCCAAATGCTACTTGGGAGTACTTTAACCGCAAAGGTAAATTAAATGATACTTTAACAGCGAGGATAGGTTAAAAACTTTATTTCTTCTCGGACGTTTTTTAATTGCTTCCATTTTTAAAAATTTTTGTATTCCTTTTCATAAGTTATTCGGGATTTAAATGGAAGTAGTTTGGATGTGGCGTTTGTCGCCTCAGCCTGAATATCTGTTGGTAATTTACTTATTTCGTTGTGAGCCATTTTTGGCTCCAACTCAATCACCAATCGACACGAAAGAGAAGTAAAAAATAGTGACTCAAAACTGACAACTAAAGAGACAGCTTTATTTATTTGTCAAATTACATAGAGACCAACACCAACCCAGCACAATATTTTTTCTACTCGTAATAAATTCCTTGAAATAATAATTTCTGAATATTTTTTAAAAGGTAACTCGCTATAGAAAAAAAATATTGTTTTATACACAACAATAAAATACCATTTTATCCTCTTGTATAAAAAATAACTATTAAAACATAGGATAAATTCACGGAAAAAAATATTCAAAAATTATTTTGTAAATAAATCAGATTTGGAAGTTCGCTATCTTCCGCAATAATTGACAGCTCATGTCAAGTGCGCTTTTAGCTTATTTGTAATAATTGACGTCAATTCAAAGCGGTCACATACTAGATTTTATAGAATATAAATTCAACGGAAAAGAGTAGAAAAATAGCATATTCAAATCTAGAAAAATATTAAAATATATAGAAAATACTTCAAATCTGAATGCAAACAAAAATATAAAACAAATGACACCACCTATCAAATGCTTTTGTATTCCTTATAGTAAATATGGCTATGGAAATTATAGATAAATATCAGTTTGTAATAAAGATATAGGTATTTACATAAACTATATCATTACTTACCGACATTACTCCTAAAGGTAGTACGTAAAAGAGTACGAAATGGACCATGTCGAACACTTCTGAATTGTAGAGCTGTCTGTTCAAGACACACACTGTCTCCTCATTTGAGTCGGTGCCTACCGTGACGGTATTTCCCCAATAGAATTTGGGAGTGCTGTATATGATGCATATGGACCATACACCACAAATTATCAACTGAAAGAAATAATTTAGTTAATTGCTGCAAAATTACATTGTTCAAATGTCATAGAGTAATGGTGGTAGCTGTCATGGAAATGACCGATTAAAAAATTATCATAAATCATTTTTTTCAAATAAAAACCCACTTTTTTATTTCACTAGTGAATAGGTGAAAAGGTTTTTCAATTTGTTACAGAGACTTAAAATAAAATATAGACTACACTATTTACATCTCAACCCGGACAAACATTCTTTTTTGTACACATGTTTACTTCTGGGTACAGTCGACTGAGCCTTCCTGATCCAGCCTATGTTGTCACGTCTTTAATATTATCAATATTTTTTTTCTTGTTATACACATATATTGAGATATTAATACTACAGTTTAATAAAGTAGGTTTTAATATTCCATAGATGTATTAAATAGTCCTTATACTACTAAATTATAAGTCGGATACTGTTTAAAAAGGATAAGTTCTTTACAATATGACAACACCGATTAGAGGCGAGGGAGCCTATTCATTCATTTATTACCTTGTAGTACGTGTCGGACGTGTGCGGTAAAGCTTTGTTGCCGCTATCTCCCCGGCTGTATTAACGCATTTTCTTAGCTTGTAGTCCTTAAGTGTTTATTTTATTGACTTTTTCTGTTCAAGAACTATAAAATATGGTTCGCCAGTGCCAAATTTGCAAGAAATTTGACTTAAATAATCCAGTTAAGTCTTGAAAGGACTTTTGACCGGTAGGCAACTCTCAATTTACCCATTAGGAGTCAATGGCGTTGTTGTAGAAAGGCGCTTATTTAGATAATATTTTAGTAAAATGTAAAATCTGAATTTTTTCTCTTACATTACATTATTTACTTATTTACATTGTAACAAAATCATAATTATAACCCTGTTAATAATTAATAATGTTTTTATTAAAAATATATTCCGGTTTATTCTAAAATTATCTTCAGAATCTAAAATAACATACAAGAATTTTAAAATGATATTACATTATGAAACAATATTTTTAATATACCGGGTCGTCTCAAAAGTGGCTCACCCCTATAACTTTTTATTTTTTTTCAGATAAAAAAAAACAGATTTGTATGTTAGTAGGTATATGACATAAATTAGGATTTATTGACGTATTCAATTGTTTTTGGTCTCTTCCTGTTTCACGGAAATGATTACATCTTTTAATTTTTAAAGGCACCCTCGGTATATTGCTACTTTATTCGATAAAAAATCACACTCTGAATAGAATGACATATCATATGTCAACTTTTGACATTGTCGCTTAAAAACAAATCCTATTTTAAATTTCAATCCAGGGTGCCATGGTGTTGTTAAAAAACACTAAGTTTTTAATCAAGGAGCCTTGGAAAAATGGTTTTGATCGTCTAATGGGTTTCGTGTCTTGTCTAGGCCGGTTAAAAGATGTACAAATCGTATTTTTAATCATACATATGTCAATTTTTTCAAATGGAACAAGGCTGACTCATTAGCATATTTGGAAAAAGCATTTTTTTATGAATATATTGATACCACACACTTGGTATTTCGAGTCAAATTGTCGTTATGAACCGCGTGTTACAATTACAATTAAACCATATGCGAAAATATCAAAAGTTGACATATGATAATGATTGTCATTCTATTCAGAGTGTCATTTTCTATCGAATAAAGTAGAAATATACCGAGGGTGCCGTTCAAAAATTAAAAGTTATAGTCATTTCCAAACAGGAAGTGACCAAAAACAATTGAATGCGTCAATCAATCCTAATTTATGTCATATACTAACATACTAAATCTTGTTTTTTTATTTGAAAATTTCTTAAAAAAAAATTATGGGGATGAGCCACTTTTGGGACGCACCCGGTATAATAAAGACAGTACCGAGTTAAATAAATGTAGTTTTCATTTTATCCACTTCCTATCACCTTCCTTGCTTTAATGGAACAGATTTATGTTTTCTCTAATTTACATAAGACATCACTTAACCAGAAAAAAAATTACAACAATCACATTTTTTTCTCTCCCCTGTCGCCGATTTTATTATATCTGTGGAATAGATCCTGTTTTGATTAATATTAGGGGTTGTAAATGTTTGACTAAAATTAATAATTTATTATTAATTTCAAAAATTACGTAATTTCGATTATAAAATTTCTTCTATAACGTGTATTTTATTATTTTTATCCTTTTTGGACTCTAAGACGTTTTTTCTAAACTTTTATTTAAACCTGTCCTAAATCTTAATAAAATATAAAAAAGTTTAAATACGATATATTTTTAATTTAATTATAGCTTCATTAAAATAAAAAATTACCCGGCTATGATACCGAGAGTTAGGTGTACTTGAGAAACGAAAGACAGTGTTGTGTTTCTCGGCAGAGTCGTCAGGGAACGACCGTTACGACAGAGACAACCTATCTATCGCTCGTGTCGCACTCGTTATAACCTAAAACAATAACACAACAATAACAAGACATTGTCTGACCGCATGTTCCAGTTATTTATGAATGATATGCTCAGTCTATATTTTATTTTAAGTCTATGATTTGTTACTTTTTAACTATACATGTTCCTATACCTAAAATAAATCGTTTTTAATTTATTTAAGATTTAGTTTGAAAACGTATATTTTTCTTGATTTTATCTAGCTTCCTTTGACATTAAGTGTCAAACAGTCAGACAATTTATTTCCATCTGTCAGAAAACGAATTATTTGAATTTCCTATATTATAAATATACTGCTGCTTAAGCGTTTAAAAAGTGTATTTATAAAAATATCTCGTAATTTCGCTCTTTAGTGATGTTTGTAGTAGTTGATATTAATAATATACCGGCATAATCGATGAAAAAAAAAGCAGCGAAAAGTTGCCTTGGAAATGATGATCACTTACTGTTTTTTGAACAACGTATCACAATATAGCATGGCCAGATCTATTGTTTTACATCACTTGACGTTTAAAGTCATAGACTACTTGTTAAAATCAAGAAAAATAATCTACTGCTACAAGGCAATCGCGAGGATATTGTAGTTCTCTAGAAACTTCTAATTCACGCTCAGTCTGGGACACCCTGTATATGCCCTATCTACCTGGAGATTATCGAGATGAAAATATAATAAAAACTAATGGCCCAAATTGCTTTTTGGTCCACTAATAAAATTTGCATCCCGGTCCCGGAAAATAACCGAACAATTATGGAAAACAGTTTTTCAATTCTGAATCGATTGTTCTAAAATAGGGGATGCCAGCGAAAAGTGGACCGGTTACAATGATATATATCGATTGGGATTTAGTGAAAGGCCATTTTTTACATTTTCGATAAATAAAATCATCGGGCTGTGTCAAAATTATCAACGGCCAGCATTCGTGTCGAAATTATATATGTTAATTCGGCCAAATATAATATAAATTTATACGAAATATGCGCGATAATTCGGCTTGTTATTGTAAAAGTACGGTTTAAATGATTTAAATTTAGTGTACCCTAAATGAGAGTATTGTTCGGTTTTGAGTTATTTAATATTTGTTTCAATTTTGACTAATTCGGTGGTTTAAAAGTTAATAAATAATTTACAGTATTTAAATTTAAATTCACTTTCATCAATAATAAAGTTATGACAGGATAGTAAACAAATTTTAGTTAAGCCTTTTGGGATTATCTCAATCCAGACAAATACTAAAATATTAAATGGTCCAACTGGAGCGAGACATATCCATTGCCTGGAAACTTATATGGTGAAATTTTGATAAAATAATTTAGTACTCACTAAAAACACGGTATGTCGTTAGTGGTAGGAAAAATAATTTTTAGAGGTTAATAGTTTATTTGGTTGCCTGTGATATGCATATACAGGGTGTTTCCTAATTAATCTAAAAAATAAAAAATCGTTAAAAAACGGCTAAACGGCTAATTTTTTTCTCGGCAACTGTAGATCAGAAAGGAAGTACTTTAGACCTAATGGTTATATAATTATTGTTTTAAGAACACATGAGGAATCACACCACAATTTTTTAGACTAATTAGAAAACACCCTGTATATTGTCAATTTGACAATGATTGTTGATAAATCAAAAAATACCTTTTCTGTGAAAAAAGCCCGATTTTCGCAGGAAAAATTTTGGTTTTTATTGAATTTGGGCCTGCGTCTGCAAATACCCGGTATGTTTTTTAATATTCTATCTATCTAAATTTTAAATATCATAGGTATATATGTATCATACGTCAGAAATAGTTTTATTATTTATTAACTGTAAAAATAGGATACTTATAAGTTTTATCAAATATTGTGATTTATTTTCTACCTTGTAGTCAAAATTTATATTTAATAAACTGTAAAATATATATATTCTTGTGTTTTATTAAAGTTACTCTGATATACTAATATATCAGTGTAACTTTAAAACTAAATCCTTTGAAATCAAATATAAACATAAAAAATATTTACAGCAGAAAAGGCGAAGGCGCTGGGTTAAACGTAGTCTCTACTAAGAACACGGAGGGGCGCTTTGACCCAAAATTTTACTATTAAGTTTCATATCTATCTTAATAGAAGATTATTTTCTTTTATCTATGGACATATCCATCTCTCAGGTCTCTGGCACTCATAGTCTTATTTATACCTTCCATCCAGGCTTTCTTTGGTCTTCCTCTTCTTCTAAGGTATGGGCATAGTATAAGGAAACTAGTAGCTTTACTCCTTGTCAAATCCTTTGTTCTTTTTCTGTCACTTTATATGATCTTGTTCTCGCATCCCGTGACCACTGACCTAGCTGTATAGTCATGGTCTATAACTAGGCAAAGTATAGTCGTGGCACTTGCTATAGTTTCACAGAGATGTATTTAGGAAAATATGAGTTCACAATAAAATAAAAAAAAATTGATCATCGAGTAAAAATTTGCTTGAAAACAGAATATTTTCACATTTCGTGTAAGTAACAATTCTTCCGTATCTGAAAATCTTCTGATGGGAAGAAATGCGGAAAAAATATATAATGACATATTTTTATATTA